CGCATCGACCCCTCCACCAGCCAGGGCATGGCCCCGGAGGGGACTCGAAGGACGAACTGAGGAAGTGCATGGGCCAGTTCTGTCCACAGTAATGGGACCACTTATTTAGGGAACACTCATGTCCAAGTGGTATATCTGTGAATTCCCTGGCGTTTTTTGACTGTGTTCTTATGAGGTGGGGGAGGGGGGAAGGATGGGAATTATTTTGCCGGTAGGAAAAGTGGAGAACAGAGAGGTGGGTTCATGCATCCAAGATCGCACAAGTTGGTGCTGAAGGCTAGACTTGAATCCAAGTGTAAACCAGTTCAACAAGGCACATACTCAGGGTCTTGGGATGGAGGAAGGAGACCTATGGTATTTGTCCTCTTTTCTCCCCTTAGGAGAAAAGAAGGAGTAGTCACTTGAACCAAGATACTCCCAAATTGACTGGGGTCCTGGGTCAGCTCCTTCCTTTCCCCTAAGGGGGGAAAAAGAACAAACACCCCAGGTCTCCTTCTCCCATTCCATGAGTCTTCCATTGCTTCATTGGAAAATCTCAACCCAGAATTTTTATCCCAGTATAGCTTTTCCAAAGGCTTTGTGTTAGGAATGTCATACTACTTCTAGGGTAAGAAATAATAGGCAGAACTACACAGTGAGTCTAGAAATGTAGCCGTGGGCAAGCAGGATCCACAAAGTCGAGGTGAGGGAAGCAATCTGGATGGCCCTTCCATTCTTGGCCAGGTCCCAGGCCCAGTCCCTATGCTGCTCAGCATTCACCCACAGCTTCCAAGTCTTGAGTAACAGGAGGGCCAAAAGTCCAGGCTGCCCCTATTAAGGACATTTTCTTTTGTCAAGGGTAAGCACCCTATGGAGGAATGTTGGCTTTGTCAATACAGAGAAGGACTCTGTTCCTCATCCCCCAAACCCCATTGCCACCACCTAATCCTACTCCCCTCTAGACTGACACATCATAAACTGTGATAGCTACCGCCATGGCAAATGGGCTCAATTTCATAGAACCATGGACTTTTGAGCTGGGAGAGGTCTTAGAAATTATCTCCTCAGTCCTTTCATTCATGCAAATGGAAACTCTGGCCCAGAAAGGTGAGTGACCTTTCCAATGTCATACAGCTAATAATTAGCAGAATTGAAATGCAAATCCTATTACTCTCAAAGATAATAATTAACAAAAATGAAATTCAAACCAGAATTAGAGAATGTGAAAGTTGGAAGGGATCTCTGTGGCCATCTAATCCACACCATATATGGTTTTCTGGTTCCAACTCTGACCTCCATGTTATTATTCCCTCTCAATCCAATGTTCAGGACCTAGGCTCCTAACTCATGTTCTAATGTGTGCGTCATCGTGTGATTCTAAGTGGTTCGTGGACCTCAGTTTATTCTCAGTGCAGAAATCAGTCCTGTTGACCAATAAAGAATGTAAGGGCAGTAGAATATCAAACAGGCGCTTGTTTCTTTGTTTGTTATAATACTCAGTATTATGACTGCTCTCTCTCAAGGTACTGTGTCTGTCATTATAGGATGGAAATTTTTTAGGAAATACAGACAATTCAAATGGATTTCCCCCTCCAGCAAAAGCTACATCAATACCTTTGTGAATAACAGCTTCAAAATAAACCTGTGAGCCCCAGAATTTCCCTTTCTTCTTGGACTAGGGAAAACAAACTCTGTTCCCCTCCACTGCTGCCGTTGTCTCTGTGTTGAGATGGATTGTTTACAGTGGAGGGGAGACTCTCCCAGGCCATCCTAAATCATGCCCCTTCAATCATTTGGACCTTAAAGTGCCCTGTCCAGTTGGGTCCTGAAAAAGCAGCACATGGTCAGAAAGCCATAGTCATTTAACTCAGCCTTGCGGGCAGATGGTTAGGGTGTGCATTCGTTTCTCTTGATGGGAATAACTTAATAGGGCAGCCACCTGCCCAAGTGATCACCAGGCTTCTAGTAAAATAGTAAATGTTATCGGGTTACTGGCGTCTGATTCCCTCTGCCTTTGCAGACTAATGGATGGGTTTGAGCGCCTGGCAAAGCTCTGTGTGTGCTATTCATCACTTCTGACTGTGTGCTTGTCCAGATAACTCTCTTTAGCTGACAAAACCCTGCAGACTTTCATTCTTCCCTATTATCTTTCCATCCTGTGTCCCTTCTTTCTGTTTCTGTCTCTTTTTCTTTCAGCCATCTCATCTTGAGGGATGGGAGGGGCAAAAGGGAAGGGGGAAAGAATCCTAGAGCAGTTCTGGAATGATCTGTTCCAGCCTGTGACATGAGGGTTAACAGTTCAAAGTTGATCCAGTTATTCTATAGGGCCCATCTGCGCAGCTAGAGGCTTTCAGTAACTCCCGTGGGACACTGACTTTCCTCTATCTAACTGTTGCCCAGGGATGAAGAGAAAGCACACACCATTAAGGCAGCAGCCTCGATGGTGCCCCACCCAACATGTTAGCACTGTATGCAAGGCGAGGGATTCCAAACTGCTGCTGGCAAGGAAATCATGCAAATGTTCTATTCCCTGTGTGTGTGCCCCTCCTGGAGAACATCGCCTGAGCAGGAATTAATAATGCAATTATGTTACTGATGGAAAAATGTGGATTCTCCCCGGCCTCCCCCTATTAAAGGTTTTAGGTTCCTCCCTCCCAACCCGATCACACAAATGTTGTTCAGAGCTGCCTGCTGGGAGGGAAGGGGATGGGGGGTGGGGGAAGAGGCACAGGGCCAAGATGACATCAGCTCTCCTAAGGCCCATTTCAAGGGGATTTTTATAGCCCTGCTCAAAAGCCTCCAAGAATTCTTCATTCCAAGTGCCCCTGAAGAGGAGGAGTCCTGCCTTCCTGGAGTTAGCCCTCTCCGCCTAAATATTTCTGGCAGTGACAAATCTGCATTGAGACTGCCGCTGACTTTTAAAGCTCTGGAAAAGTTAAAAATACTTTTTGGTAGCTATAATCAGTAGGTCTAACAAATGGCTCTAAGGTGCTCTGGGCAGTTCAGTAATGAAATACAAAGTGACAAGGCCAGCATTTCAAGCCAGGCCTGGGTTAGAAAGCCTTAGACTGCATGTACTTTTATTACCAATTGTCCCAACGTATAAAGATCACATCCCAACACAGTCTTTATTACCAACAATCACAATTGCAACAATAACAAGGGGAAAAAAGAAAGAAAGAAAGCTGAGAATAATAGATAAGTCCAGTAGATCTAATTGCAAGATCACTTTATTAAAATGGGTTAATATGTTTGTCACAGAGGTAGGTCTGCTATAATCTAGCCATATTGTAGAGAAGGTTCTCGCTAGCTACAAAGTGGCCTCCCTTTGAATATGATGAAAATGCATTTAATGGGCTAGTACCCTCACATGCTATCTTCTAGTCAGTGACCCCCCACCTTTTTAGCTCCTCTGTTGTAAAGCAGATGATGTACCTTGTCTGTCTCTCTCTGCCTTCCTTTGATCAGTAGCTCTGATATCTTGGTTCAGAAATCCCATTGTAAATACTTTCATAAATGAAATGCATTGCTGCTTCCCTTTTACTCATGGACTCATCGAAAGAGAACAAGTTACTTGGCAAGGAATTGCAAAGTGAGGTTCCATCTGGAACGCCACAAAGCCGCAGTGTCTAGGGAAAAATCATCCAAGTCAGTATAGTCCATAGGGGATAGAACTAGAGAGCCCTGGGCAGCCAATTTGCCTAACACATTGAGACGGAAAGCCCCAAATGTACGGAAGCTCATGTGCTTTTCTCCACGAGCTTCTTGCATCACACAAACTGGGATAGAATGGTCCCCAGAGCTCCCTCAGTTTTAGACAAATGCCTGCCACCTAGGAGTCAGTGCAAATGTGAGTAAAGGGAAGCTAAGGGGTGAGAAAGTTTGTCTTGGTCATCCCAGTAATCACCCAAAAGAGACCAATGCCACTTCAGTCATTGCTAATTTCGCATTTGTAATCATTCATTGGATTGGCCTAAAGTTTGCCTTTGTTTTGTCGATAAAGAAAGGTTTCACTAAGTTAGTAGCATAAATAGGATTACACAGGAAGCTTTTAAACTCCATGTAAAAACAAACTGTTTTTAAGTCCCTTTGGATACTTCAAAAGTACTCATGCAGAGTACAAAAATTACCCATTTTTGTAATAAAAATTTGAAACTTCAGATATGAAATTACAAATAATTTTCATCTCTTTATTATAGCAGTTCCCCTAAAAACCTCCCAGAGGCAATGAATCATTAGTTCATTTCTAGTTCCTATATATCCCAAAGGAATAAAAATTAATTTCCTTAAAATAATTTATAATTCTAATCTGGCCTACATCCCACCCCAGTTAATCTGAATTAATGAGATTCAACTTCAGCAGCTACAAAGCACTCCCAATATCTTGATTATTTTTTAATTTTGATCCCTAAGACTATGAGTGAAAATATGAATGTGGAGAGTATGCCTAACCATTTCTCTGTAAATAACTGGTACCAGGAAAGCTGGGGAAGGAGGCTATGGTAGAGTAGAGAGAAGCAGGGAAGAGGTGGACAGTACCCAAAGGTACATAAAGAGTTTTTATTCAGAAACCTGGAGCAAGAAGAGCATTTAGAGATTGTCTAGTCTAATCCTTTCATTTTAAAGGCAAGGAAACCCAGAGACAGGGGAAACATCTTGCTCTAAGCTCACACAACTAGACAGTGGCAAGGCTGGGCCCGGGAGGGCTCTTTCTAGTCTAGTACTTGTCCTACTGTACCATGCTGAATCAATCAATCACTCAATAAACATTTATTAATGACCTACTCTGTGCCAGGCACTCTGCTAAGTCCTAGGGATACAAAAAGAGGCAAGAGACAGTACCTGCCCTCAGGGAGCTTACAATCTAATCAACCAGTCTCTAGAAAAGAGAGAGCGTGTGTGGACAGGATAGTGTAACAAGCTACCCCTTTTTTGATTCCTCTCTTCCCATCCTTTCCTGGCATCTGTGTCTGGGGGTATATGTGAAGCTGATGTGGCCCCCGTTCTGCCTCCCCGCCCAGGTTCTGAGGACTATCGGAACAAATTCAGTGGAGATTGCTTCATGGACCTGGTGTGTCCTGAGAAGTGTCGCTGTGAAGGCACCATCGTGGACTGCTCCAACCAGAAACTGGCCCGGATCCCCAGCCACATCCCAGAATATGTGACTGACCTGTAAGTCTTCTGACACTCACCAGGCCATCCGTGATCACCAATACCAATATCCATCCTATAACTCTGTTGAATTGGGTGTGTTCTGTTGCTGTTGATGGACACGTGCCTCAATCTTGAGACTGGGAGGTGGGGGGAGAGAGAAGGGGACAGGGCAGTACCTAGAAAAGACAGAGATATTTCTGGCCTCCCAGAAGATCATGACTATGAAGCTGGTGAAATGGTTAATCAGTCAATAGTCATCAAGCATTTATAAAGCATCTGTTCTGTACCAAGCACTGTGCTCAACTTGGAAGATACAAAGAATGGCAAAAACTTAGTCCCTGCCTTCAAGGATCTCACATTCTAATGGAGGAGAAACATGCAAACAGCTGTGTACATACAAAACATATGCAGGCAGATAGGAGATAATATCTGAGGGAAGGCACCAGCATTAAGGGAAACCAAGAAAGGCTTCTTGAAGAAAGGGAGATTTTTAGCTGAGAATTGAAGGAATCCAAGAATCAGAAATGAGGAGAGAGAACATTCTAGGGATAAGAGATAACCAGTAAAAAATGCCTGGAGTTGGAAGATGGAGAATCTTGCTCCAGCAGCAGCAATGGGCCAGTGCTGCTGGATTACAGAGTATAAGGGGAGGGTAAAGTGTGAGAAGATTAGAGAGGTAAGAAGGGCATAATAACAGTATTTTCTTAACTGATTTATGATAATGAAGGTATCAGTGGGCAAACCATAATTACAGTATCCAAAACGTCATTGACAATTAAGGGTATGTCTTTTTCTGACCACAACAGTGCATTACAAATAGCATTCCTTGGGCACATATTAAAGAAAGTTGTTTCCCACTGCCTAAGCAGAGGGAGGAGGCTCAGAGATGTGGTGGGTGGCCTGAGATATTTTTAAAATATACATGTGGTGTGGTCAAAAGAGCAATGGGTTTGGAGTTGGAAAAACTTCAGTTTGAATTCTGGCCTGCAGCCCTTTATTAGCCTCTTGACAATAGGCAAATTACCTCATTTATTTGGCTCTAAGTTTCTTCATATGTGAAATGGTAACCATACTAATAATAGCTAGCATTTATATAAATACTCTTAGCTTTCCAAAGAACTCTACATGTGTTAACTCATTTGATCCTTTCAACAACCTTGGGAAGTAGATACTATCATTATTCCCATTTTGCAGATGAGGAAACATAAGATACATAAGAAGTCAAGTGACTTGCCCAGGGTCACAAAGCCAGTAAGAGTCTGAGGCAGGATTTGAACTCGTCTTCTTGACCCCCAAGTCTTGTGCTCCACTGTGCCACCTGCCAGCAAATGAGAGAATGGCTGTAAAGCATTACAAAACGTGAGGTTTCTGTTTTCAATGTGCCCAGTTCCCCATGTCTCCTTTTACCTCTTTACCAGTTAAATTCCTCCACATTTTTTAAAGCTCACATCAAATGCCACCTTTTCTGTGAAGGCTTCCCTGACTCCACCCCAAGGCAGGTATCTTTCCTCCTTCAGACCTCCTAGAACACTTTCTTTCACATATCTCATGTATTATTTTGCATTATTTTGTCTTTATTCTGGACCTATGACCTCGTAAATTCAGGTGTAGAAAGTCACTCCACCCATGCAGGTAGCTCTCCTCATCTAGAACTGCAAGTCTCAGAGAGTTGCCTGTAGCAGTAAGAGGTGGTCTTAGTTGTCTGGTCCAACAACTAGGGCGTGTGTCAGAAGCAGGATTTTAATCCAGTTCTTCTCCAAAGCCAGCCCTCTAATCACTGCTCCACCTCACCTCTCTCTTTTGTGTTGTAGTTCTTGGTATAGATGCATGCTGATGCCTTTACCAGAATGTAAGCTTCATGGTAATCAGCATATCTCTTGAGGCAGCTAGGTGGTACAGTGGTTAGAGCTCTGGGCCTGGAGTCAATAAGATCTGAGTTCAAATCCAGTCTCAAACTAGCTGTATGACCCTAGCCAAGTCATTTTACCTCTCTCTACCTCAGTTTCCTCAACTGTAAAAGTGGGATAATACCATTTACCTCCCAGGGTCATTGTGAGGATCAAATGAGACAATCTTTATAAAGCACTTTACAAAGATTAAAGTGTTATATAAATGCTATTTTTATTACTATTATTCCTCTAACACTGTGCTCTATACAATTAATACATTTGCCCAATTGAATTAAAATTAATCGTGAGTTTAAGTGCTGAAATAATTATATACATGGATGTGTCCAAAAAAGGACAACTTTCCGTAGTCCAGGAATGATTCCTGATGGAGATGGATAGATAGTGGTGACTTTTCTTTTCTTCCAGTATCTCTCCATGACCTTTAGAATTAAGATGTCAAGTATTCAAATGAGGAGCATTTGATAATACAGATGGGGTTCTACTTAGTTATATCTTTCAGATGTTGTGACTCATGTAGGGTGTCGGGGACTATGGATATATGGAGTTCTTTGAGTTATCCCAGTGAAGGTCACAGCCTTTCGAGGGTGGGAGAAATGGAAGCCACTTATCCTAACACCTAATGTCCTTCTTCCCTCTTGCTTCACTTCCAGACGCCTAAATGACAATGAAATCTCTGTCCTAGAAGCCACTGGGATCTTCAAGAAGCTGCCCAACCTGAGGAAGATGTGAGTAGAGGGCCCTGGGCCATAGCCACCACATTTCACCTGCGATGCAAAGCCAATGGACCTATAAGGCTAATGGGCAAAGTCAAGGAACCTAGAGAACTGTCAGATATTTGAGAAGTGGTCATGGAAATGGGTGGTGCAGTGGATAAGGTGCCAGACCTAGAGTCAGGAAGACCTGAGTCCAAATGTGGCCTGAAACACTTACTAGCTGGATGACCCTGGGCAAGTCACTTAATCCTGTGTGCCTCAGTTTCCTCTTCTGTACAATGAGCTGGAGAAGGAAATGACAAAACACTCCAGCATCTTTGCCAAGAAAACCCCAAAATAGGGTCAAGAAGAGTCAGACACAATTGAAAAACAACACAGGAAATGAGGCTTAGTTAGATTTGTTCTGCTTGGACCCAGAGGGTAAAACTACAAGTGATGAATAGAACCTACAGAGAGGTGGATTTAGGGTTGATTTTAAGGAAAAGTTTCCTAACTATTAAAGCTACCCAAAAGTGGAATGGGCTGCACTGAGAGGTGGTGAACTTTCCCTCACTAAAGGTCTTCCACTGAAGGTTGGATGATTGCTCACTTGAGAATGTTAGAGAACATTTTTGTTCATGTACAGGTTGAGATGTGTCTGGAGTCTCTAATCTCTGAGACTCTGTAAAGTATCTGGCCATGGCAGTTCTCCACTCCTTGGAGAATTACAAGAAGTCACTTATTAGGAGTTTTTCCCACCTTAGCTCCCCCCTACCATCAGTTGTCACAGTAGCTGCTAAGACCCTCCTGCTAATGAAATCCATTCAGAATTCCTTGCAAATCTAGCAGCTCTGGTATGCTTTGTTTTCAGTTCACAGAAGAGAAATACTCATAGATTCATGGAATGTTTGCCCTGGAAGGGACCAAAGATCTAATTCAAACCCCTTCTTTTAAATATGAAGAAACCATGGCCCAGCAAAGGGAAGGATGTTGCCCAAAGCCACCCAGTTGATTAGGGGCAAAGTCAGAACTTCGATAGTGCTGAAAAGCTGGGCTTAGGTCAGCGAGACTCAAATTCAAGTCTCCCCTCTGACATGTAGTGAGTGCATTGTGACCTTGAACAACGTCCCTTAACCTCTCGGGACCCTGGGGGACTCTCTGAAACTACGAGTTCCTAGAACAGATGTTCATCTGCAGAGAGTTTCCTCAGCGTTCCCTTACACAAGTGGAATCTCCAATCTAAAGCAGCCCCACCACTCCCCCTGCCAAAAAAAAAAAAAGTGAGAACTCAGAATTCACGTCCCAACTTTCATTCCTCTGCAAGGACTCTTCAAAATGTTTTGGCTTTCCTCACCACCTTGCAAGTAGTCAGTCAGCCAGTCAGTGAGTGCCTACCTACTGTGGCAGCTAGGTAACTCAGTGGGTAGAGCACCGGGCCTGGAGTCAGGAAGACCTGAGTTACTGTGTGACCTTGGGCAAGTCACTTCACCCTGTTGGCTTCAGTTTCCTCATCTGTAAAATGAGCTGGAGAAGGAAATGGCAAACCGCTCTAGCATCTTTGCCAAGAAAATGCCATGGACGATATTGGCATATTATAGTCCACAATGTCGTGAAGAATTGGACACAACCGAACAGCAACAAATGTGCTAGACATCTTGCTAAGCACTAGGGTTACAAAGAAAGTTAAAAGACCAGTCCCTGCCCTTAAAGAGCTGTCAGTGTCATGGAGTGGACAGCCTTCAAACAAGGATGTTACAAACAAGATGTAAACTGGATACAACGTAAATAATCAACAGAAGGAAGGCATAGCATTGAGAGGGATGAGGAAAGGCTTCTTGTAGAAGGTAGGGCTTTAGCTCATGCTGGAAGAAAGCATCGGGGTGAGGGGGGAGGGAGGGGTTATTATTGGGGGATGGGTTTGCTACTGGTTGGAAAGTGAAGTTTCTCTTTTTCTAGTTCCCTGAGGGACAGAGAAAGGAAAATATATTCAGGAGGAAATATTTAACTTAAGAGGGGTTTTTTTGGTTGTTTTTTTCTCCCTAAGTAAAGATAGATTCATTATCCTTTTTGGTACCAGCCTATGATTTCACTTGGCATGGGGCACTCCTTCCACAAATTCAGATAGGCAGCTCTTTGTAATTTATAGTCTTCAAGAGTTGTCTGAAGTACTGAGAGGTTAAGAGAATTGCCCGTGGTCACATACTCACCATAGATCTGAGATAGGAATAGAACCCAGGTTTTTCTGATTCCAAGATGAGCCCGCTATCTGCTACACCATACTGCCTATCCTTTTTTTCATATAGCTAGAAAAAAATATTTGTTTCATCAAGTCCTGATTTAAGAGAAGGGGAGTTTATTCTAGGTGTAAATAGCATTCTTCATTTAGTAAGGACTACAAAGGGTGTGATGAGGCCACTCCCAGCTGAAAGGGAAGGGGGTGAAGGATGGCAGTGTGTCTGCCAAGGCCCTATGATTATTCAGAACCCCAGCGGGAAGCCGTCTTGCTCTTGTTTCCTGTGAAGCAATAAGTCTTCCGTGCTCCGTTCTTGGCAGGAGATGAGAATGTAAACACACAGGTGTATTTCAGATGTCTGGAAACAGGCGGCCAGAGGTGATCGCACCCCGCTGTTCACTAAGAAGTGTGGGCCTCCTGTGGATTTGCCAAACCCTTTGCTGCCATCCTAATTGGCCAAGCTCTACCTGAACTCCCTCCTTCACAAAGAGTTCTTAAGTGGGGCTATTCTCTGACAGGGTTCAGCCCTAGCTTGTCTACTAAGAGGGGGAGAAAGTTGTTGTTGGAGACCCTGGATTTAGTCAAAACAACTTCACCTGTCAAAGGTTTATGGGGATGTGGAAGGGCTGGAGGAAGTAGATTCTATCTCCAGTAGCAATTTCTCAGCTTCTCTCTACACTAGCTCCTACTAGGGAAGGGTTAGACGGGGACTGGATGGGAACAGGACAGGACAGGCTGGCAGGGGGGTGGAGATACCTAGTCGGTCAAACATTTATTAAACATTTACTGTATGCCAGACAGTGTACTAATTTCAGAGACACAGAAAAAAAGTCATAGCCATAGTCCCTTACTTCCAGGGGCTCACATTCTGATGGGGGAGACACTATGCAAATGATTACATGCAAGATATTTAAGTGGAGGTAGTCTCAGAGAGAAGGCATTGGCGGTAGAGGGAAAGAGAAGATGAGGGGGGAAGAGAGAAGTTAGGGCTGGAAAAGACCTCCTGCAGAAGGCAGGGGTTTCTCCATTGCCTAGGAAAGGTTACTGAGCCAAAGGAGGACAGGATAGACTTGAAGATATCTGCCTTACTTTATACCATATTTGAGTTCCCAGAAAATGCATACATCATTGTTATAAATTGGTTCACATTTGTGGTTTGCTGGGAGAGCTGGCTATTTAAAAGAACCCTGTGGAGAAGCCTTTTGCAAAGCAGTTTTTGCTCTTCTTATAATCTGAGCAATCACCCCCAATGCACTGTTTTGTCAGTCTGGATCTTGTCCATCAGGTGTGCTCACAGCATAATATGCTGATGCCGGGAACTCTTGAGCTTGCTTAGAATGTGAGCTTCTGGAGGACAGGGGTGGTGTTTTTGTCTTTCTTGGTATCTCTAGTACATAGCACAGTACCAAGCACATAGTGAATGCTTAATAAATGTTTGTTGACCAACCAACTAACTGACTGACTGACTGACCTTTGTCTTCCCCCCAGTTAGTTGTGTCTTCATGAACGAGTTACTTCAACTCTGAGCCTCAGGGGGAATAGGTATCAGTTTCTTCATCTGTAAAATGGAGATGATAATAACAACACCTACCTTATAGAGTTGTTATGCTGATTAAATGAGATAATATTGTCGAGCATTTTGCAAACCTTCAAATACTATATAAATAATAGCTGCGTTATTATTGTTGTTGTTATTATGCATCAAATGAGGATAGCAATCCCTGCCCTGACTTCATTGTGAGAATAAAATGAGATCAGAGGAGAGTATTTTGAAAAGTATAAAGCACCAAACAAATGTAAGGGGTCGCTGCTATAACTCCAAACAAAAACTGAAATCGAATCTCTCTACAATGTCTTTTCTGGATTCACAGTGAGGGCTTATAAAGCTTTCTGTTTTATACCATGGGTTCTTACCCTGGGGTCCACTAGCTTGCTTTAAAAAAACATGTATTTCCTGCATATGGATTAAGAGAAAATTTGAATACAATAAACTCCCCACTGGAATATTCAAGGATTATTATTATTATATATTGAATACAGATGAAGAAAATTTGAATACAATAAACTCCCAACTGAGATATTCAAGGGTTATTGTTATATATATATATATATATATATATATATATATATAGAGAGAGAGAGAGAGAGAGAGAGAGAGAGAGAGAGAGAGAGAGAGAGAGAGAGAGAATACAAATGAAGAAAGAATCCTGGATAACCACAATACTTCCCATTGAATGATTTGTTTCATCCTAAATTGTTTACCTCCTTATCAACTATAAATCTCAAGATAATTGGTCTCCTTTGTCATGCTCTGTATTTTATTTTATGCCCTTAAAAAACATTATTCTGAGAAGAAGTCCATAGCCTTCATCAAACTGGCAAAAGGGTCTATTACAAAGACACACACACACACACACACAGTGTGCATGCACTCTTTTAAAAATTCCTGTTTTACGCTGATTTTTTTTTCTGTTTTTGGAGACTGAGTCCCCTTCTCTCACCCAAGCCAGGAGTACAGTAGCCACTTGGGGGCCTGAGACCTGCTCTGTTTCCAGCTGAGCTACTTCACCCTTCTTTAGGCAGCTGGCATTCCACTCTATTGTTGCCAGAGTTAATGGGGGACACCAGATCTGCTTTAGCATTACTGCACCTCAAAACTCCTGAACTCAAGCAATCCACCAGCCCCAGCCTCTCCAGGGGCAAGGACCACAGCATGTGCCACCACACCTGGCCTGCACTGGCTTGCAGGTTAGTTTCAGTGCTGAAGGAGCCTATTAGTGAAGTCTCCTGAGCAGGATGTAGGATCGTAAATTTAGAGTTTCAGGGCATCTCAGAAGCCACCTAATCCAACCCCTTCATTTTTCAGACCAAGAAACTGAAGCCTAAGGAAGTCCAGTGATTTACCCAAGATCACAGAGATAGTGTGAGAGGCAGGATCTGAACCCAGCTCCTCTGACTACAGAGCCAGGGTTCTTTCCGCTGTACCATACGTGCTTGTCTATCCAGATGGGAAACCCAAAATGCAACCTTTTCACTTGTCAGTTTTATTAGTTTCTGGGAAAAGATGTTTTCCACCCTCCTCCTGTCTCTTACCTCCATCCCTGTCTGAGCCTGAGGCCAGTGCTTTCACCTGGATTACAACCACCTCCCTCCTGTCAAGCAGGGTTTATAGTATATCCAACAAGCATGAAAAATAGAGACCCCTAATAGACAAAGCTTTGCCTTGTCAGACTGAAGCTCTACGGACTCGCCTTGGCTTATGGAGGTGACGACAATCACATTTCATGGAAAGAAAACAGAAAACAGAAGTTCATTTGGTGTGCAGTTTTCCTTAGAGTTGATTTCTCCAAGTTGGCCTGCTTTGACTAAACCCTGGGTGTGAGGCGGCGGTTTGGAACTGCAGGCAGTTCTGTTGTCACTCGACCTGTGCGTTCCCAGAAAGCACCTCGCTATGCAAAATTAGTCAATAAAAAAACACAGAGCTTATGAGGTTCTGGGCATGGCACTCAAAATGTGTCAAAATGTGTTACTTTGTTAGTGACACATTCAAAAAAAGATAGGAACCTAACAAAAACATGGTAGCACAGTTTTGTACATGTTAAAAGTTTCAAAAATACTTTTAAAAAATACGTGAATATGATAAATTCAATAAATTATAACCTGGTCCCCAGCCTTCAGCTGCTGCTAGGCCTATACCTTGAGCTGCTGTGCAGAAAGGACTGGGGGTGGTATGGGCCAGTCTTTCTCTTCTCCCAGCTTCTATTACAACAAAAAAATCCACAATGAATATGACATATTATCTTGACAAAGACTTACTGATGGCTTATGAAAGTGGGCATCCAAAAGGTTTATCTTGTGAGTTATTGAAAAGTGGTGCAGTTAGTTATGTTTTCTTGATGTTTCTTATGAAGTAAAAGAAATCCACATTAGCAAACTGAAAATGTGAGGTGTGCTCAAACCATTCCCTGATACATCAATTGTGTTGGAACCAATTTGCATTTTGCAAACACGATTTATAGCAGAACTGCCTGTAGAGGGGCCTCTCTTGTCCTATTCATCATTCTCACCTCCATCCCTATCATTATAAAGGTCCTGACAACTCATCTATTAGTGGGTGGCTGTACAGAGAAAAAAAGGTAGAGGAGTTAGGGATTTCCTACGATACTGCTTATAGGACCAGACTGCTCTGGGAGTCCCTCAGCTCTTTATTGCAGTAAGTGAGGATTCTGTGCCTGGTTTCCAACTATTTGCCTTAGCGCTATTCAGTGCTTTTCCAGTCCCTGTAATATTGAAGAGAAGTTGTAGCAGCAAGGCTCTCCGTATATTTTATTCTTTCTATTTTTCTCCTCTTCTTTCTTCTGTCCTCTTAGCCTTGGGAAATCCAATGTGAAACCTTACAGTAATGCGATGTTGATTTTGTATATTTAAAGAAACAGATATCAGGAAATGGGGAAATACTCATTTCATAGGCAGTCATATTCATTTTCATTGCCTGTTGTGGGCACTTTAATCCACCAAGAAGCCCAACTCTCAAAGCAAAAATCTCCCTCTTCTGGCATGTGGGTGAGTTATAGCTATGGAGGGAACTTTTATTTCCCATTTAGTTTCTGATCTGGGGTAATTTACAGTCTTCTCATTGCATTACCATCATTCCTGGGTTATCCTATGTCCAGGTTCCCAGGACTGAAGAGAAAACAGACTAAACCCAAATGAAATAAGGCAGTGATCCTAAATACAGTAAAGTTTAACCTGTCCATTGAATATTTCTCCACGGGCCATGAGAAGGTTGAGTATGTTAGCCCATGCTGTGTTTCATTGAGCAAGTCACTTCCCCACCCTAGACTCCTGGACTCAGTTTACTCATCTGTAAAATGAGAGTTGTCAGTCAATAAACATTTATTAAGCATCCGGATCTAACCAGCAATGGTTCCATAAGGGATTAAGCAGGAATGAACACACACACAGCACACACACATCTGTCACTGGGGCAGGTGCCTTCCCAACTATTGTTTGTGCGTTTTCCTGGGATGGGAGAGAAAGAAACAACAAGGGTCATTATATGACTGCCTCATACACAAGGGCCGTGTCTGCAACAGCTTTAGCCGATATATTCCTATCTACAGGTTAGTGTGCCCATCCTGGCCCCCAGGGCTGTGGCGGGGACATCCATGGACTAGCTCATTGGATGGGCTGGATGGTTCACAGGAGGTTGGAGAGCAGGTTTACCAGACAGACTACTTGTCTGGTGACTAGGATGTGCTCGGTCAGGCTAAACTCCTCCCCTTGGATTGTGTAAATATCGGTTGGATCTGTGCCATTCGTCAGCCCCTGGAAGCCTTTCACGTTTGACAATCTGGGCTCTTCTGTCATCTGGGTGGGCTGGAGCCATGCACCGCTGGTGTTCACCCGGGAAGAGTCTCAAACAAGTAGTTCATGTTTTGATTGAACAACCAAGGCCTGTTCATCATGATCCTCTTATGAGGTTTGTTCTGAGGTGGCTTCTTTCAGCAAAAGAGTGAACTGTCATTTCAGAGCCCAGCCCTGAAAGCTGGGACCTGGGCGGGGGGTGAGAGCGAGGGGGGAACATGAGGGAACTGAGTGTAGGATGCAAGTCAGTCCTGTTTTGAAAGTACCCGATGCCCGAAACTCTGTGTTTATGAAGCAAAAATATCAGGAGTGGCCATCACGTGGGCCCCTACTTTTAATGGCATTGCCCCTTCAGGAAGCAGGGGCTGTCCCATTTCCTCACCTTTCTTCTTGCACTCCCCTACCTCAACTCATTTGGACATTGTATTCTTATCCTTTGCTACTTCTTCCCTTCTCTAAGTCCTGTAGAAGCATTTATATTTTTATATTTTACACACACATACACACACACACACACACGCATATGCATGCGTGCATCTCCCACTACCGGTATTGACATTAACCTTTGTCTCGTCCATACCTCCTTGACTAGAAGTGACAGTTGTTCACATTGCAAAGGATTCCTTTCAGTGGCCGGTTCTGCTCTCTCCCCACCCTGTCATTTGCAGATATTTTATTTAGATGTCAGGTATACAGAGAGGCAGCAAAGTATAGTGGATAGTAAGCTGGGTGGAAACCTGGGTTCAAGTCCCACTTCTGACACATCCTGGCTGTGTGAACTTGGCCAAGTCACTTAACCTCTCAGTGCTCCAGGCAACTCCCTAAAACAATAAGTTTCAGAGATGCTTCCTCTGCATTGGTAGAAGTTTACCTGCCAAAATGTTCCCTGTACCAGTAAAACAACAGGTCTAGCCCTATTCCTATCTCCCTTGTTTTCAAGGGTACACCTATTGCATGAATCAAAGCGTACTTTGAATAGTGCCATACCCACAAGTCTCTGGGCTGAAAGTACTCAAATATGATGGATCCTCTGGGCTGGGTTCCTTAGCAGCTCTTCATCTCCCCTTTCCTTCCTCCCATACCCATTGTCCAGCCCTCCAAAAGGAGTAAGTGTATCTGCGGATGATATACCACCTGCCTCACTTTTACCCTCATGTTTCTACTTGGTTGGAATGGGGCAATGGGTTTCTCATGCCACTCAAGGTCACCACTGCCTTTCCCTTCCCCTCCCCTCTCCTGCTTTCTTCTCTTCCTTCAGAAACCTGAGTAACAACAAGATCAAGGAGATGCGAGAAGGTGTCTTTGATGGGGCAGCCAACGTACAGGAGCTGATGCTGACAGGGAACCAGCTGGAGTTGGTGCATGGACGAATGTTCCGTGGGCTCACCAGCCTCAAGACAATGTGAGTGCACCAAAGCCTGGTAGGTTGGAATAGGGATAGAGGTCCAGGCTGGGGTGGGACCAAAAGAATGGGAGGGAACAGAAAGAATAAGCATTTGGGTCTGGATCTATATGTTGAGGTGGTAATGGTTACACCTTGATCACCCAGTACCATCATGAGAGAAAAGTGAAATCCTGCAGTGGAGTGAGTAATAGAGAATGTGTGCTCTGGCTCTCTCTCCTAGAGGCAGACAGGCCACACCTCCCCCTTAGGGATGTAGCTTGCAGTAAACCTGTTTTACTGCCATCAGCTGTGTCCCCACATTGTTAGGAGCCAGTTAGTAGCACCCCACTTCCATTTAACACTTAACATCTATTAGCTTTTACAAAAGGATGTTTCCTTCAAAGACAGCCAGAACAAACATACAAACATTTCCCACACGAAGCACTTCAGGTTATACTCTTCGCTTTATTGGCTTGGATTCTGGGGTAGAAGGCTCACAATGTATCTCAGCTGGTCCCACCAGCTTCATAATTACATGCAGCACGACTGCCCGATGAGCCCTGTCTCAGGTACTGCTGGCCTGGGGTCCCAAAGGCCATTCTTAGATCCTTGGGGCACCGATGCTGCAGTACCTTCAAAACCCATTCCCAGTCCTAGGTTCTTGTGGCTCCTCTCGACTTCTCAAAACTCTTAAGGTTAGCCTAGTCTGTCATGAAATGCTGTGAGCTAAGGAACAAAGAGAAAGTGGTCAGTGCTGACAAGTCTTCTGTGAATGCCTCCAGAGCCCACCCAAAACCTCCCCTGCACCAGGTGGTTAACATGGTTCGCCAACCGAGACCAGTTATGGAATGTCTACACACGCTCCCCTGTCTCTCCAAGGCACCTCATCATGATCCCCCCAGAAATAATCTGCTAGTGCCCTCCGTGTGAAGAGGCCGCATCAGTTGAGAAAGTTGATGGAGTTTGCTCGGTTACGGTAGCTTGAGGTGGGAGATGTTCTAATGCTGTGCAATCCCTTTAGACGTGCATGCACACGTGGAGTAGCCCATTCTGGGACGCAGGTCTGGGGCGTATCGCAGAGGACCTGAGAAACGAATGCTGACTTTGAGGCCTGAAATGGTGGAGAAGGAAACGGCCTCCAGTCTGCCACTTATCACCAGGCCTCTTCTTGCAGGATGCTGAGAAGCAACCTCATCAGCTGTGTGAACAACGACACCTTTGCGGGACTGAGCTCAGTGAGGCTGCTGTCCCTCTATGACAACAGGATTACCACCATCACCCCAGGAGCCTTCACCACACTCGTCTCCCTGTCAACTATGTGAGTTGTGCTGTTCCTACAATCTGCTCTGCTTAGCAGAGGCGGCCCTGGGGAGGGATGGAAAACTCCCTGTGGCCATACCTGGATCAAAACCGTCTTTAACTTCCCATTCCCCAGATCTCCGTATTATCTTGGGAGCCTGATGTAGTGGAGGCAACCTGAATGACAAAATAAAAGTCCTAGATTCAATTAATTTAACTTTTATTCTCTTGCATTGGTAGCTTGTTTGCTTTTTTTTATTGAGCAAATAGCCAGTACTCAGTAAATGTGGATGATGCCAAAGATAACAGGAAAGTTATAGCTCCCATCCTTTGGGAGCTTACGGTCTGATTAAAATTTTATTTTTATTTATTTTTCATTAAAATTTTTATTTTTTCAATCAATGAAAATTTGCCTTTTCTCCCTCAGACCCCCACAAAAAAAGCCACTTATTTTAAAGATGTAGAGTCAAGCAAAACAAATTCTCTCATTGGCCATTTAAAAAAAAATTATCTCAATCTGTGAGTTTATTACCACCTCTTTGTCAGGAGGCAGGTTAACATGTTTCATCCTGAGTCCTCTAGAATCATAGTTAGTCATCGGATTGATCAGAATTCTTAAGTCTTTCAAAGTAGCTTATCTTTAATGATAATAATAACTAGTACTTGTATGTTATATTTTATATACAAGAGCTTTAAGGTTTACAAAACATTGCACATCTATTATCTGATCTCAACTTCATAACAACTCTGGAAGGTAGGTGCTATTATTATCCCCATTTTACAGGTGAGGAAACTGGGATTGAGAGTGGTTAAATGACTTGTGCAGAGCAACACAGCTTCTGAGGCACATTTGGAACTCAAGTCTTCCTGACTTCAAGTCCAATATCCTTAACCACTTAGCTACCTAGCTTCTTCTTTACAATATTGCTGTCATTGTATACATCATTCTCCTGGTTCTGCTCACTTCACTTTGCCTTAGTCCATACAAGCCCGGGTTTCTCTGAAACTGTCCGCTTCATCATTTCTACAGCACGGTAGCATTCCATCACGTTTAGCCCTTACCCTGTTGATTGGCACTCCCTCAGTTTCCAACTCTTTGCCATCCTCAAAAGAGCAGGAGCTCACATTCTAAGGATGAGATGCAATGTTTTTCCTAAAAGGGAGGTCTAATAAAGAAAAGAATCCCTGCCCTCAGGGAGCTTTCGGTGTGATAATAAAGGCATGGCTTCATACTTAAGGAAGGACTGTCGGTATGAAAGAGGGAATGGATTGTTGTTTGGGGTCCCAAAGAGCGGAATTGTTAGGAGCAGATGGCTGGACACTGTGGAAGAGAGAAATTTATGAGAGAACTTCCTGACGATAACCAGAGGTGCCCAAAAGGGGAGTGGGCTACATTGGTCAGGGGTAAGAGGCTTCCCTTCACTGAAGGTCTTCAAATGGAGGCTGAGTGATCACTTGTCAGGAGTCTTTTAGAGCGGATCCCTGTACTGGCACAGTACCTGGTATACAGTAGGTGATACACAAATGTTTGTTGATTGACTCCTGATTGATTGTATGGGTGAGTGATTCATAGCCTCTGATGTCTATGAGATGCTGTAATTAGTCTAACAGGAAAAGCACAGTTCCTGCCCTTGACAGTACATAGACCTATATGAGAAACTATATGTCTGTATACACACATATACATTATATATGTATATATATATACACACACACATACACATATATGTGGGTGTGTGTATACACATATACATAAATACACATGTATTATAATGTGTATATATACATATGTATGTGTATACTTATATGTGCTGTATATATGCATGTATGTATGTGTATAATTATATAGGTATTATATATGTATAGGTATGTGTGTATACACACACACACGTTGTAGACACCTAGAAGCAAGGCCATGAGCAGGTGCAGTGCTGCAGGTCTATCCCTATATGCTTAACAGGGAGTAACAAGAGATAAGTAATTTGAACTTGCATTAATAAGTAAAAAGAATAAAGACAAAGCATGTATTCAGCATTTACTCTGTGCCAGAAACATAGAAGAAAAGGCAAGGCAGGATTGCAAAGGGATTTGTATGTAGCTGCCCCCTATCAAAATGCATCAAGCCCTTTGCCTTATCTTATAATCCATACAGGATCAGGAAGCAGATGCCTTTCAGCAAATCAGAAAGCACGTACTGAGCACCTTTCTGAAGTGCTTTCCTTACTATAACCCTGTGAAGCCGGCAAAGCAAGGACTGTGATCTCTGTCTGGGTCTCAATTTCCTCATCTGTAAAATGAGGGCACAAGACTAGGATAGCTGCTATTGGGCCTTCTGGCTCTACGTCTATTGTATCCATTTTAATAGATGAGCAAACTGAGCCTCGGAGAAGTGCTCAAGATCACCGTAGTAAGCCTGGGAGTCGAGACTTGACCCAAATCTTTTGACTCCAAGCCAGTGCTCTTTTTATTATATCACACAAGTCACTATATTTCACTGCTTCATAGGTTTCTCCTCTGTACCATGAGGACCTTAAACTATGTCCCTTTTGGCTCTAATTACCACAACAATCCTATGATTAGATGACATGACCTGTAACCTCCCTTCCAGTCCTAAAATCCCAGGCTCCTGGGATTCTGAGTGCCAGCTCTGGTGGTGATTCACTATGGTCAAAGGACGTAGAGCTGATACAGACCTTAGAGGTCTAGTCCAAAACAGCCCTTTTGCAGATGAGAAAACTGAGGCTCAGTTGGGGCAGGCTTCTTGGAGAAGACAGGACCCGTTTATTAAAGTAGAAATAAAAAGAGGGGAAGTGGGAACACCTTTCCACATTTGGAAGCAGCCTAATCAAAGGCTGCTTCGAGAGAGGTAGGAGTAAGAATGAGGCTTGTATAAGGACAAGCAGACAGGCAGGATGGATCGACAGAGGGTTGTGGTGGTTAGTCATTCATTCTGGAAGAGGACCAATGACATGAGGAGGGAGCTGTCTTGATTTGCAAGTGATTTCGATGTAAGTGAGGCAGAGCTGTGCAAAGTCATCAGCCTCACTCTCTCCTCCAGTGTCATCGGAGTCCAATGGTCAAGGCAGCCAGCAATGACCCTAGATGTAGTAGTGGACCTTGGCCTTTTTAAGCTAAGGTCTTTCCCAGGTCTCGATTTGTCTAAGGCAATGCCCATTCAGTAATTAAAGGCTAGGTAAGATTTGAGGCAAAAGATGGCCTAGTTTGCCTTCCTTTTCAGCTGTCTTCCCCTCCCAGATTGATAGATAGAGGGCTTTAAGAATGGATGAGTAGGGTGGGACCAGTCTGTAGAGGATAGGAACTCCCTTTCATTTCTGCAAGAACTCTGTTGCCTAACAAGCCTCCAACCCCTCTCTGCTTTCCACCTCTTTATCTACCCTTGGCAAGGTAATGCAATCTCTGGCACTATTGCTTTTGAAAAAGGTTTGTCAGTTGACTTTCCTATGGAAACTCACCACCCCTCTAACTCTCTAGATGAGGGTTCCTGGCCTTTTTTGTGTCATGGACTCCTTTGGCAATCTGGTGAATCTCTCGGACTTCTTCTCAGAATAATATTTTTTTAAGGCAATTGGGGTTAAGTGACTTGCCCAGGGTCACACAGCTAGAAAGTGTCAAGTGTTTGGTCTGAGGGTGGATTTGAACTCAGGTCCTCCTGACTTCTGGGCTGGTGCTCTATCCACTGTATCACCTAGCTGCCTCTCAGAATAATATTTTTTAAAGCATAAAATAAAACACAGAGGATTAAAGAGGAAACCAATTATAATGAAATACAATTATATATTTTTTCAAGTTCATGGACCCCAGGTTAAGATTCTCCACCCTAGATGAAAGCTTTCTCCACCTATTAGAATGTAAGTTCCTTGAGGATACTGTCTCACTTTCTCTTGTAGCTAAGTACTTAAAATAGTGCCTGCTACACAGTAGTGGCTTTAATAAATGCTTTTGCATTCATTCTTTCTTTTACTCATTCAAGTCATTCACTGTGGCTTATAACAATTAAGTGGGGAATATTCAGCTGTCAGTCTAGGGAACAGAAGTTTGATTGATAAAGTCTTCAAAATAGGAACTGATACAAAGTGGAGTAAGCAGAACCAGAAGAACGTTGTACACAGTAACAGCAATGTTGTGTGACGAAGAACTGTGAATAACTTAGCTATTCTTAGCAATACCATGTTCCAAGACAATGCCAAAGGACTAATGATGAAGGATACTATCTGCCTTCAGAGAAAAAACTGACTGAAGCATGCTATTTTTCACTTTCTTTCTTTCATCCTTTTTTTATTCAAGTCTACTTGTACAAAATGACTAATATGGAAATGTTTTGCATGATTGCACATGTATAACCTATATCTGATTGCTTACTATCTCAGAGAGGGGGAAGGGGAAGGAGGGATAGAATTTGAAACTAAAAAAAAAACCAAATGTTAAAAGATTATTTTAATGTGTAATTGGAGAAAAAAATGAAATACATATATTTATGTATATGTGTGTGTGTGTGTGTGCCTTCTTCACAACCTTTCTACCCTTCCTATCCTGCCCTCATGCCCCCAAACTCCAGACCCCTCTCCTGCCTTGTCCTCTGGCTCCACACCATGTCCGTCTTCCAGTAGTCAAGTAAATTCCTTGTCAGCTTCTCCTGAAGCTCCAGCTGAAGCTATTATCGTTCAGTCATTTTCAGTTGTTTCCAACTCTTTGTGACGCCATTTGAGGTTTTCTTGGCAAAGGTACTGGAATGGTTTGCCATTTCCTTTTCCAGCTCATTTTACAGATGAAGAAACTGAAGCAGAGTTAAGTGACTCGCCCAGGGTCACCTAGCTAGTAAATGTCTGAGGCCTAATTTGAAGCTATAGATACTGCTAACCTCACTATTCAGGCAACATCACATTGTCATCTGTTGCCACTGGGAAAGAATCCAGCTTACTAGGAAAGTTGTGTAAGTTCACCAAATTTGATTAGGCTACATCTTTATGTATATCTCCCCCTCTCCTAAAAACACCCCAGACTTCAAGTGGCTGAATCTACTGCCAAATTATCTAATACTGAATCATTACTACAACCTACAGATGAGGAACTTAGGGGAAAGAAACCAGAGTGGAACACCAGAGCTCCTCTCTCTGCCATCTCATTTGCTACGTGAGCTTGAACAAGTCGCTTCTCTCTGGGTTTGTAAAATGAGGGGCACAGCCCAAAATCTGAAGCTACCCTTCAGCTCTAAAATCCTGCAATGAAGGTACACCCCCAGACCTGCTGAGAAAGCTCATCCAGGATTCTGACAGGAGTTTGTTGTGTGTTTGTTTGTTTGTAATGCCAGCAGGTAAAAACATGTCCTTTCTCTGAAGGAGTATTTTGGCCAAACACATTTCTTCCTCCCACTTCTCATAGTGAAGAAACAAACATTTAACTCTTTGTGAGGTTTTCCTCCCTTTTTCTTTAGCCTGGCTAGTTGGCTTGGCTACAATCCAGGGTGAGATTTTTACATCCGACTTTCCCACCTATGGAAACAGAATTGCAAAGATGTGAACACATAAATGCAGCAGCCCTTGTTAAACTATTTAAATATCAGATGGCCTCTACTATACAGTCTAGGAACTATTTCCTGGGAAAGATCTCACACCTTCAATGTGACCTGGTTACTAAGTGCTAAATACCTAAGTACAAATTATTTAGATTTTCTGTGCCTCTGTTTCTCAATCTGTTATATAAGGATGATCAATCATATTTTTTCAATGGCTTCCATAACTTTTCGTTTTCTTTTCTTTTTTTTTTTTAGGCAATTGGGGTTAAGTGACTTGCCCAGGGTCACACAGCTAGTAAATGTCAAGTGTTTGGTCTGAGGCCGGATTTGAACTCAGGTTCTCCTGACTTCAGGGCCGGTGCTTTATCCACCGTGCCACCTAGCTGCCCCGCTTCCATAACTTTTCAAATAAATTCAAATGAATCAACATTGCCATTAATTTGGATTTTTTTGCAATGGTGCAGAACTCAGGCCATCCTGGGTGACTCTTGCCCATGTCTTCCAAAAGTTTGCCACAAGGTATCTACCCAATATGTAGCTGGCTTCTTTTTTTTCTCTCACTTCACTAGGATGCCAGGGGAGTACATGGGCTATTCTACCTGTCATCCTTTACCCTCACTATGCGACCAGCCCATCTTGGGTGTGTGCATGTGTGTGTGTGTGTGTGTGTGTGTGTGTGTGGTGTGTGTGTGTGTGTGTTTTGTTTTGTTTTTGGCAAGGTGATTTAGGTTAAGTGACTTGCTTCAGGGTCACACAGCTAGTAAGTATTAAGTGTCTGAGGCCACATTTGAACTCAGGTCCTCCTGACTCCAGAGTCAGTGCTCTATCCACTATGCCACCTAGATGCCAGGGCCCATACCCCCTCTCTCACCCTCGCCCTCACCCCGCCCCTTTCTCTTCTTATCATACATTTCCCAAATGATACTTTTTAATCCTTTTCTCCAAGTATTTGGGTATGTGTTGCAGCCTGCTCATATCAACTAGGAGCTCCATTTCCCTCTGTGTGGTATTCATTTTCAATTCAACCACTTTCATCAAAGTCTCCCCTAAATGAACCATCCCACAGCTATTTTTTTTCCTCTTTCCAATCAACCCTACACCTCAGGAGGCACAGAGATAATACCGTGAATGAACTTAGCATTCTTCTCTCATCTCCCTGTCACCATCATTATGGGCCCGGGGTTAGTGAGTCTCAACGAGACACTTGATAACATTATTGGAGCCTGAGGGAAAGAGGAATAATGTCACAGAGGCCCACCCTGATGGGGACTGCTGAATTGGACCAAATATTATTAAAGCTGGGAGATCATCTAGGCCTGTAGCCTCATTTTACAAATGAGAAAACCAAACCCTGGAGAGGAGAAGTGGTTGTGTTGAAATCACACAGCTGACTAATAACAGAACTGGAAATAGGCTTCCTGACTCCCAGCCAGGGGCTCTTTCAAATGCATTGTATACCCCCATATCAGAGACAAAGGAGTTGAGGCTCAAATGGTAAGATTCTGAGTGAGAGTCAAGGGCCCTGTGCAGATATTTGAGAAAAGAACCGGTGCTCCTGTAGCAGACTCTTGGGATAAGGCCCCCAGACTCCCGTAGAGCTGGGGGAAGGGCAGGCCTGGGGTAGGGGGATAGGGAGGAAATAGAGAGAAAACGCTGGGCATGTTCCTTCTTCTCCAGTCCACACTGAGGCTAGCTGACAGCCAGTCTCCAGCACATGCTTCAGTGTTTCTATGGCAGTGAGAGTTGACGGTGTTTCTGAACTGCAGAAAGAGGAGTCCACCTGACATGAGCATGGGGGCATTTAGGGAGGCAGCCCTGAAGCCTGAGCAGACAACATAGAGTAGGCACTGTTTAACAACTGTATGTTGACTTGAATAAAATTCAAGTGAACAGAGAGAGCAAATTAACTGATGCCACCGTGGGAATCACATGGGGCATCAATTTGACTGATATTTGTTAAGAATATACTACATACAAGGTACAGAATTTTCTTCTCATATGCCTGTTTAGAGTCATAGAATGTTGGGACTAGAAGGAAACTTGGTTTCTTATTGAAACCTCTACCCTGTGTTTTGACAAATTGGAAAACCAAGGCAGAAAGAAATTAAGTCAGTGGCCGGGTCAGAACTAGCACACCAGGTCTCCTCATTCCTAGGTTAGGATGCTCTCTATTCTTTGTTGCTCAGTCATTTTTCAGTCATGTCCGACTCTTCGTGGCCCCATTTGGGGTTTTCTTGGCAAAGATACTGGAGTGGTTTGCCTTTTCTTTCTCTGGATCATTTTACAGATGAGGAAACTGAGACAAACAGAGCTAAGTGACTTGCCCAGGGTCACACAGCTAGTAAGCGTCTGAGGCTGGATTTGAACTTGAGTCTTCTTGACTCCAGGTCCAGCACTCCAGCCACTGCAACACCTAGCTGCCCAAGGCTACCCAGGTAATGTCAGAGGCAAGATGTGGACCCAGAGCCTCTCATTTCAGAGTTGGTAACTCTTTCTATCATAGTACTTCCTAATAACAACTCTCATTTCTATAGCATTTTAGGGTTTGTAAATTGCTCTCCCTCACAACACCCCATATAGGTAGGTTACCAGATGTATTGCTATTCCCATCTTATAGATAAGATAAATGCAGTCCAGTAAGGTTAAACAGTTTTCCCGGGAGCACACGGCTACTGAACTACTGGAGTTAGAAATTGAATCTTGGCCTTCTGCCTTATATTTGCTTGCACATTTTGTTTGCTTTCAGCACAGCGTCTGCCACTGCCCAGATCCAGGGGGCTGGTGAGGCTCCCGGAAGGAGGTCCTCGCTGATTCTTTCCTTGCCCCTTCACCCTCTAGTGCCCTCATTCCCTTTCATTGGCAAGAGGAAGGGCAAGTTCTTGTCGTTCCTCTGCTGCTCCCCATTCCCAACAGGGAGAGGGGTTGGGGAATCCAGAGACCAGCAAGTTCGAATAAGAAAGTTTTCAGTCATTACTGAATATCAACCCCTTGAGGGCATTGTTTGCTTTTTTTCTCTTTATATTTTCACAGAAGTGTCTGGCACCTAGTAGGGCCTTCATAAACACTCATCGAATTGCTTAGATGAGGGGAGGGTACTATCCATTTCAGCCTCGCCTCTGATCAGACCCCTGGGGGGAGTCTACAAATTGCCCGGTCTGGAATTCTAAGACCGGAAGTGCTTTCTCTTTTCTTGGCATAGGAGGGCTGAGCGGTTAGCATTGGACACTTGGGAAAGCTGTTTCTTCGATGTCAGGAAACAAATGATGTTTACTCCTTTTCCTCACTTTCCTTCCTTGTCCTCCACACTGCTTCGGGGGGTGTTATCTGGGCCTGTGGACAGGCTGTACTTGTTTCCCCCCTGGGAGAGTCGAGCGCGTGGCAAGGGCCTCTCCTCTCCTTTCCTTTCCAGAAACCTGCTTTCCAATCCTTTCAACTGCAACTGCCATCTGGCATGGCTAGGGAAGTGGCTGAGGAAGAGGAGAATCGTCAGCGGGAATCCTCGGTGCCAGAAGCCATTCTTCCTCAAGGAGATCCCCATCCAGGATGTAGCCATCCAAGACTTCACCTGTGACGGTGAGAAAACAAAGAAACATGGGGAGGGAGGTGGAGGGATAGATCCCAGTGGTCCAGCACCCTCCCCAAAGGAAGCATGCAGGGGGCAGCTGGGGCCCAGGCCTCTTACTCAAGTCATTACAGGCTAGGAATTGGAAACGCCCACCTCGAGTCCTAGTTTCTCTACTGCCTGTGGAAAAGTGACTCAAGCCTTCCAGCCTCAGTTTTTCTCTCTGTAAATGGCAAATAAGCTTTTATCCACCTAGTTCATGTGAATACACGTGATTGAACAGATGCATGAAAAAGGAAATGTTTTTGGAAAAAGGAATGCCTGGATTGTTACTATTTCAGGGACAGGAAGTAGGCAGAGAAGGAGGCCTTAAGGTACTTTGAGACCTTCAGGCCTAAGCTCTCCATTCAGTTATCTCACAAGAATAACTAACCGAATTGTTGGTCAGGAATTTGTCCTTCCTGGAAGAAGGTAATTGTCATTCCTTTGTTGGTGCCAAGCCTTCTTCTTTAGGCCTCTGCTTTCACCCAGTCTGTGCTTCATACTACTTCCATTGAGGGTACCTCTCTCCTCCTGCTCACCCAGGTTCACAGGCTCTAAGGCCTTCTTAATTCTTTATCCCCTTCAGCCAATCAGTGGCCAAGTCCTGTTGTGAAGATACGAGGTGGGGCATCACTTAGATGCTGTAGAACGTGGGTTCCTCCAGCCTCCCTTTCCAGGCTCATTTCCACGTACTCTGTATTCTACACAAGGTGGAACATCACTGCTCATTTTCATCTCCTTCTCCTCACTCACAAAGCCACCAAGCCTCGTTTTAGGCCTTCATTGACTCTCACTTTAACTATTGTAATAGTCCTCTCATTGGTCACCATTATTCTAGCTGCTATCTTCCCCAAACCATTCTCTACATACTGCGAAAATAACTTTCCTAAGGCATAGGTCAGACCGCGTCACTCCCCTTCTCAGAAATCTCATTGTCTCCCTGCTGCCTCGGTCTGGAACTTAGCTTCTGTAGTCTGACTCCAGACTTCATGTTTCTCTCCTCCTTGTACTCTATGTTCCAGACAAACTGGAAGAATTAGCTGTTCCTGGAAGTGAATATTCGATCTCCCACCTCTTTGCATTAGCACAAGCTGTCCCAAGCCTGGAATGCACTCCCTCCTCTCCTCTGCCTTTCAGAACCATCTTCCTTCAAGCCAGGCTCAGGAGCCATCCCTGCTATAAAGCTCCCCTCTAAATTCCCCAAGTGCTAATGTACTTTCTTTCCTCAAATGAACTTTTATTTCCTTATTTAAATAAATGTTTTCTATCCACCACCACCCCCAACTCAATACGATGTAATGTCCTTGAACTGGGTTTCATTTTTGTCTTTGTATACTCAGCGCTCAGCGCAGTGCCTTCAATGTATTAGGGCCTTAATAAATGGCTGTCTAATTGAAACAACAATATCACGAAGCTGAAATTCTAGATTCATCAAATCTCAGAGTTGGAAATGATTTTAGAGATGAGCTTACACCTGAGTCGCCTCCCTAACAACCCTGACAGGTGGCCATCTAGCCGCTATTTGAAAATTTTCACATAACAGAGAGCTCACTACTTCATGAGATATGCGGTACCATATTTGAATTCCCCTGCTTGATTTTTTTAATGTTTTCCTTATACTGAACTCAAGGCTGCCTGCTTCAAATACTATCACATCCCTCCTAAGTCTTTTCTTTTTCAGACTAAATATTCCTTCAGCTGATCCTCATATGAAAATTCTGAGACCCCTCAACATCCTGGTCTCATTCCTCATGCCCCAGTTTATAAAAGTCCATGTGAAAATGTCTTGTCCAGAATTGAATGCAGTATTTAAACTCTAGCCTTCTATGGGTCACTTACTGCTTTGCTTACTCTGGGCTCTATCAAAATCGTCTGAAGTAATATTAGTCCCAAAGGACAGGCTGAGTGTAGGCCAGGGGTGGGGAGCCTGCAGCCTCAAGGCCACATGTGGCCCTCTAGATCCTCGAGTACAGCCCTGCAACTGAATCCAAACCGAGGCCGCAGGCTCCACACCCCTGGTGTCAGCTGACCAGGGAGATATTAGGAGGAAGCATCAGGTCTCCAAGTTTTCGGCTTCAGCCATTAGGTTTCTCGTCGTGGATCTCGTCCACTCCTAGTGACTGAATAGAGTCTCCAGGGATTGAAAAGTCCAGGGAGAGGTTATGATTTATTTCCAAACAGGAAAGAGGCTGCCATCTACCAGGCCAGCCTAGAAGACAGTGCGGTGCCATGTTAGAAGGAGTGTTGTATTTTTAAATCAGGTGCCTGAGCTTGAGTCCCAGCTCTTTTATGTATCATCTGGGTGACCTTGTACAAATCACTTAACCTTTCTGAGCCTCAGTTTACTCGTTGGAAAGTGAGGAGGTTAGAGGAAGGTCCCTTGTACCTCTGAATCTGGGATCTTATTATATAACCTGTGTCCAAAGGACTCATCTTGAGAACTCTGATGCCGGAGGAGTCAAGTGCTCTTCCTTTAATCACCACCAACATCCCTATGACTAGGATCCCATGATTTCCTTTCCCTGAGTTCTGGGCAGCAGTTCATCTGTTTTAAATTGAAACTAAAATCCACATTCATCTTTTTTTAAAAATGGCTCTCACTGCTCATCTGCAGTGGATTGCTCTGAGATGCTGAAAAATTTTTAAATCTCTAGTGAGATATCAGTGCTCTGATAAGTTCTGTCTGTCTATGCCCCAAAAGTATGGACGACTAATAGAAGCAGGATCTTTACCGGTTGGGCTCCTCCAAGTCTAGGGTAATATTCGTTTGGAGAAATCTGGCTCTACTGCACTTTTTGGTGTGTTTTTGTTCCATTTTGTTTTTTTCCTTTAGCGGATGAAGAAGGAGAGAGTGGAAGTGGAAGGCTAGAACGAGATGGGGCCATTTTATGCCCTGCACTCAGTGTATATTACATTCACTGAGTCCTAATGATAGGACCAGCCATGTTCAGAGTTAACACATCTTGGCACATTTTCCTTTACTGAAGAGGTGTTGGCCTTGGGTCTCTCATTTCTGGAGCTTGATAATTTCCAGCCTCCCTCAGTTTCTCCCCAGCTGTCAGCTATCCTTATGCTTTTTCCTCTTGGCCTTCAATCTAGGTAATGATGAAAGTAGCTGCCAACTGGCCCCCCGCTGTCCTGAGCCGTGTACCTGTGTGGAGACTGTGGTGCGGTGCAGCAACAGAGGACTCCGGGTGCTGCCCAAAGGCATCCCCAAGGATGTGACTGAGCTGTGAGTGGCCCCTCTGACCTCTCCTCCCATCTCTCGCAATGCTATTGCCTTCCTAGCTTGCCTTCTTTGAAGCATTCCCTGCTGGGGAAGCAGACACCTAGCTGAGGAGGACTCAGTACTGTGGACCCCACTGGAGGCCATAGCACTTACCCTCCCAGGCGGGAGGGGCCGCTCTTTCCGCTGCTGGAACCTAGAAACACCACGGGTAGATGAGGATGAGGATGATGAGGATCCTGGTGTGCATCTATTCTTTCTCATCTACCAAAAAACTCAGTTGCTGTCCCTTCTGATAACAGTTTGTCTAAAACTCTGCATCTTTGGGAACAGCGCTTCAGCCCAATTCAGTTCAAAAAGCAAGAAACACATGCCTACTCTGTTCAAGGCATTGTACTTCATGCTTTCCAAAGCACCTCCTGTCAAGTGGATGGACATATCGTGTGCCTTCAGTATGATGGGAGAAACACAGCCCCCTTTCTTGAAAGTTCTCAGTAAAATAAAGGAGATATTGTCTCTGCCCTTGGTGAGCTCTCAGTCCTGGGGATTCGTCATCACTACTCTTTAGGGCTCCTATCTAATGGGGAAGACATAAGAGTAATAATGAGAAAAATAGTTAACATATATATATCACTTTAAGATTTGCAAACCACTTCACATGTATTATTTGATTCCCATAACAACCCATTGAGGTAGGTACTATTATTATTCCCAATTTACAGGTGAGAAAACTGAGGCTGGGAGAAGTTAAATGATTTGCCTAGGATCACACAGCTAATAAGCATCTGAGAAAGGATTTGAACCCAGGTCTTCCTAACTCCAAGTCAATTGCACTATTTGTAATACAAGCTGCCCCCAGGACATTGTCTCTGTTCCCGGTGAGCTTGTCTTATAATGGGTCAGAGAACATACACACAAGTATGATGGATTTGAAATCAAGGGAGCTGAGCTTGAGTTCTGGCTCTGTCATTTATTAGCTATATAACTCTAGGCGGGTCATTTCTATGCCATGGCTTAGGACAGCTAAGTGGCACAGCGTATAGGGCCCTGGGCCTAAAATCAGGAAGACTCCGCTTTCCTGAGTTCAAATCTGGCCTCAGATACTTATTAGCTGTGCGACCCCAGGCAAATCATTTAACTTCTCTCAGCCTCAGTTTTCTTGTCTGTAAAATGGGAATAAAAATATTAACTTAACCCTGTTGACCTCAGTTTCCTCATCTGTAAAATGAGCTAGGGAAAGAAATGACAAACCATTCCAGTATCTTTGCCAAGAAAACCCTAAACGGGGTCATGAAGAGTTGGACGAGTCTGGAAAAAATGACTGAACAGCAATGACCCTGCCTTAGTTCTCATCTGTAAAAAAAAAAAAGCACATTGGGCTCAATGGCCTCTAATGTCCTTTCCAGCACTGAAGTTAGATCTTATCATCTGAGAATGCTTACCAAGCGGTCCAACGTGTACAAAGAAATGGACAAGTCAGTAAATGTAAGCGTGTCTGACATTGACCCCTCCCCCCCTGTAAGGGTCCTCCGAGTGGTCTAGGGAACGGGCCTTGCCTCCTACCTTGATAGGCATGTTCCTCTGTTTGTTCTGTGGCTTGTGGAGCCTCCAAGGGCTTGGTGTAGCAGTAATGTAGCCACTGCCTGGTTGGAAAGGAAGACAACCCTTCCAAGGCATTTCAGATCGCATAGCAGCCCTGGGCTTGGACTGGTGCCATTCACTCAGAAGCTTTCAGCTGCGTGCATGAATGAGGGAATGAATGAATGAATGAATGAATAGGGAGTTGGGCACCCTATACTTTGGACAGGCTAGGACAGTGCTCAGTTGGAAAGGAGCTGTGGAAAATGTCTTATCCAAGCACACATCTCCCAGGCTAATTGTCCCACAGGGTGACACATTTCAAAAGGAAGAAAATGCCATAAAAACAAACAGGATGGATTCTTTCCCCACAAGCTTATTCAGCAAAGATTGGAATAACAAAGATAATTGGATTTAATTGTAAAGTAAATCTGCATGAGCTAGGAGGGGAGCCTGTTTCCTCTTTTTTGAAACTCTTGAGCCTTCCCTTGGTTTGTCATTATTTCCATGTTTCTTCAAGGAAAGAAACATTCATTCAAATCTAGAGAGGGTGTCTTGCCAGCATCCGTTGGGGGATTGAGATGGGGCATCAAGGAATGGGTGTGGTATGAGGAGGGGTGTGGTATGTGTGTGTGTGTGTGTGTGTGTGTGTGTGTGTGTGTGTGTGTGTGTAAGGGAAGTGTAAGAGGGGCAGGAGAAATGGAAGGAGACAAGCAAGGAAAGTAGGTGCCTGTGAAAGGGGAAACAGTCAGGTCTGAACAAGCTGCAAGCATGGTGGTCTCAGCCTTGGGGTCATCTACCAGATTCCAGACCAATGACTCCTGACTCGAGTTCTCTAGTTTTTACTCCAAGCCATCTCTAGTTATCTTGGGGACTGTTGCCAAACACCCAAACAAAATTAATTTTAATTCACTTTAATTTCAAAAACAAACACATACAATGCTTTTCTGGAGGCAGCCAACAGAAGAGCAGGAAACATCACAGAATCTAACCAGCCTCAGCTGAATATTCAGATTCCAAACAGGTTCCATTTTACTGGAAGCAGTATTCACCAAATGCCAATTGGTATCCCTCTTTTCCTTAACTATGTGTTCTTTTCTCTCTACATTTCTGCTCCAGGAGTTCAGTTTAGTCAAGACATTTTTTGAGTACTGTATGCCAGGTCCTAGACAAGGCAATAAAGGGGATAAAAAAGGCATTAAAAATAAAAGTGCCAGGCCTGGAGTCAGGAAGGCTCCTCTTTGTGAGTTCAAATTAAGCCTCAGACACCAAATGTGTGATCCTGGGCAAGTCACTTAACTTTGCTTGCCTCAGTTTCCTCATTTGTAAGATAAGCTGGAGAAGGAAATGGCAAATCACTCCAGTATCTTTGCCAAGAAAACCCAAATGGGGTCACGAAGAGCCAGATATAATTGAAAAATGAAAAAGGAAAGCAACAAAGATCAATCCCCCTCCTTAAGGAGATGGTAGTCTTAATGAAAAAGCAAAACTTATATACATGAGTGCTCAATCTGTAGTAATGGGACCTAGGTTCAAATCCTGGCTTTGACACTTACTATCTACATGGCCTTAGGCAAGTCATTTAGCTTCCCTGGGCTTCAGTTTCCTAGCTCTGCTACTAACAACGTATGTGAACTTAAAACAAATTACTCTGCCTCTCCAGGCCCCAATTTCCTCAAATAAAAAATGAAAAGGTTGAACTAGATGACTACTGAGTTTCCTTCCAATTCTAGACCTCTGAGTTTTTGATCTTAATCTGCAATGGAAAAATTTGCAAACAATATTCCAGTAGCCAATCTAGTGGGGTACAGACCCTTAAGAGTTGGAGGAGTTCAGAGAGCAGAGAGGCCACTGCTGGCTGTAAACCGCTGCCAGCTCTCTAGGCCTCAGTTGTTTCATCTGGAAAATAAAGATGTTGGATTACATGATCTCTAAGTTCCTCCAACCCTGACATGATATTATTGTATGATCCTAGGAGGAAAACTTGAGTTAATATAAAAAAATTCTAAGAGATATATAAGAGAAAGTGGATCACAAAGACTTCATGGAAGGAGAACCTGAGTTCTCCTATAGGCCTTGAAGAGGTGGAGAGGAAGCAGCATCCCAAGGAGCATAATAAATATGACTTAGATTACAAAGAACGAATGTGCTGTGTGCTCAAGGGAAGGGGATGGCAGCTAAGTGGCGGGTCTGGAGTCAGGAAGACTCCTCTTTGTGAGTTCAAATCTAGCCTCAGATACTTACTAGCTGTGTAACTCTGGGCAAGTCACTTAGCCCGGTTGGCCTCAGTTTCCTCATCTGTAAAATGAGCTGGAGAAAGAAATGGCAAACCGCTCTAGTATCTTTGCCAAGAAAACCCCAAATGGGGTCGTGAAGAGTTAGACATAACTGAAAAATGATGGAACAACAAGGAAAGGAGATTAACCCCTTAGCCAAGGAAGGAGCTTTATTTTGAAAACTAAGATTGTAAATGTAGAGCTGAGGACCTTAAGAAGTCATTTAGTCTCAACTTCTTCATTTTGCAGTTGAGGAAACTGAGGTCCAGAGAGGTAGAGGGACTACTTACTCAAGGGTCCAAAGGTTGTTAGTGGCAAAGCCGGGATCTAAACCAGGACGCAGTGACTACAAAGCCACTCTTCTGCACTAAGGTGCTGGATTGGGTCCAGGTTAAGTGAGTTAGAAAAATTCCAGAGCTGAGAGTTATAAAGATCATCTCATCAAATCTCCTTCATTTTTCAGATGAAGAAACTGATATCCACAGGAGGGAAGCGACTCATCCTTGTCCCACTGGGGCCAGGGCTAGAACCTCGGTCTCAGCTCCTGGTCCAATGTTCTTCTGCTTGATGTCTCAGCTTCCTTTAAAGGAACAAGTGAAAATATTAGCGGAGGACAGTTCAGATCATTGATCTAGAGCTGGAAGGGACATCAGAGTCCAAACATATCAAAACTGAGGCCCAGGAAGGTTAAGCAACTTGTCCAAAGTCACACAGTTTTGAACCTGAGTCCTTTGACTGACAAGCCAGGGCCATTTCCATTGTACTACTCTGCCTCCCTCCAGGCTTGTCTGTTGTTGCTTTTCCGTTGTTTAGCATTCTAACCTGGAAACTGAATGAGCTAAGACTATCCAGTATGACCAAGCAGTCTCTGGGCTGTGGCCCCTTGGTACCAATTTATACGCCTGCCCATGTCCTTGGAGAGAGCTCCCTTTGGGCCCAATGAATGAGCAATAGTAACTTCCTTCGATCCCTGGATCTGTATAAGCATGGGCTGAGGGGAGTAGGAGAAGGGTATGTAACTGATCCATTTAGTTTCTGGGAACAAATCCCTGCCTTGTGGGTAATGACTAGAAATGACTGCCAAGGGTAAGGCATTAGTGAGACTAGATAATTAGTCAAGCAACAAGTATTTATGGAGCACTTACCCTGTAT